TCCTCTCTCTCTGTGTGTGTGTGTGTGTGTGTGTGTGTGTGTGTGTGTGTGTGTGTGTGTGTGTGTGTGAGAGAGAGAGAGAGAGAGAGAGAGAGAGAGACTGGGTGAATGACAGAGACCATTTGCTATTTTCAGTGCGCTAGCAGACTCTTGGCCTACTGTTATTGGCTATCAGCCCAGGACAGAGAAAGGGAGTGCGAGAGAGACTTTAATGAAAAATGAATGTAAATGAAAAATGAATGTTGATGGGAAAGGGGGCAGGATTATGGCACTGGGAGGAGGACGGGGTGGGTGTAGAAAGAAATCTGAAGTCATTTCAGAGGAGGATGAAATGGTCAGAGGGAACAGGTTCCATTTTTGGAAATTAACCTTTAATAGGAATTGGAATTTGCGGGATGATTTTCTGTATTTACACCTACTGTGTGCATAAATTTCTGATATGAGATCATGGCTTTCAGGCTTTTTTGTTTTATTCCTCTGAACCTCTCCAGAAATTTAAACAAATATATCCTAATCACCCCTAAAGCAGTGGGACAGAATACAGAAACACACAGGAGTTTTACCGACTCTCTAAAGCCTGGATTTGTGTTTTTAGCCTTCATGTAACTGGTCTTTATGACGTATTTATTTCAGCTCAAAATCAAACAATTTTACTCAAAGAGTTTTCTGATTGGAAGCAAAGCGGAGAAAGTGTAGTAAAGCAAACTTACCCAAACTGTCAGTTTAAGCTGTTTTAGTTAAGTAACGATGTCTGGCCTTCACAATTTTTCCACACGTAAGCTGGACGAGAAACTACAACCTTGTTTCCAACGATGGATTTTAAATTCTCCTTTTTTTCCTTATTTACTCCTCAAAACACTAGTTTTTGTGCAATCAAAATGGTCAGCCATTTTGTCCTTCTAGATGGACCTGATCCTCCTGCTCATGCTCCACTCTCGCTGTCCTCGCTCTCTGTCGACCCCACCCTTCACTCCACAGTCTTTATTTGGGAAATGCCTTAATTGGATTAAACTCTATGCATCAGAAACACTTTGTCAGCATGTCAGCGTATTGTCGGGGTGCTGAGGCGCTCTGAGCCCTGTGTGTGTGTGTGTGTGTGTGTGTGTGTCTGTGTGTGACTAACAGAATAATGAGCTGTGGATTTATAATATACTTGTGGGTGTGTGTTTTAATTTTTTAATGTATTTATTTTTTATAAGTGGTAGATTTCCGTCAGTCCACATTAAGATGCATTGCAGACACATGCACTCTTAACCTGTTACTGTAACTGTTCCACTTGATAATAAAGAAACACTTCCTGGTTTTTGTTTATTTTTATGTATAATGCTTAAAGAACAAAATATAAAAATAAAATGATAATAATTCTGGTAATTTATATAGTAACACCAGCAAAAATATGCAGGTTTCCATATTTGAAATTTAGAGGTGTGTGTGTGTGTGTGTGTGTGTGTGTGTGTGTGTGTGTACACCAGTGTACATTTTTATCATTATTTTATTTATTATTTTTTTGTATATTTCAAGTCTATTTGAGCCCAGAACAGCTGTTTCTTGCTATCCTATCACATTTTATACGTTACATTTTAAAAATATTGTAATTGTTTAGAAAAATCAAAGTGTGTGTGTGTGTGTGTGTGTGTACACCACCAATAGTGTATTTTTATCATAAAAGACAAAAAATCATCATCATGAGCCAAAAATTAAAGACTATTTTTAGCCATTTTTGTTTTAATAAATTCAATCTGATATGTCCCAGGTTTATTCATTTATTATTCAACGTTTTAAAACGCGTTTCTTGGGACACTCAGACCGTTAAAACCTGAATCACCACGTGATTGTAATGTGGGAAACTTTCTTTCTCACTCTAAAAGTTTACAGCTGGATTCTTGCAAAATTCGTGAGATTATGATCAAGAGGGAATCGGTCTTGCCAGCTTAAATTTTGCCTTTCATGCCGTCAGTTGGCACTTTTTTTTCTTTTTTTGAAGTTGCCTGCCTTTTTCCAAGCATGACTTCTCAGATGGTTCAGTGGAAAAGAACAATCATGCGGTTATCTGAAAACTGCTGGTTTAGCCATTATATTATAAAGAGTCAAATCAGAGAGAAAATGTGGCTTCTTGTGTCTCATGTGTCACTGTTTGTTTGTCTCCGTCCACAGGTGAGCGCTCTCCCAGGCTCTGTCTTCAACCTGGCCCCCCCCCACATGTTTGGCAACAGGCTGAACCCCAACTCGACCATGGCGGCGCTCATCGCACAGTCCGAAGCCTCACCGGCAGGTACAGCAGCGACACTTCATGCAGCAGTGCATGTTTGTTTGTGTGCATGTGAAAAAATAAAATGTGTGCATGAGAGAGAGAGCGACAAGGACACGGAGATAATTGATAGGTCAATGCCCCCTTGATCCCGCAAAAAAGGTCAAGGGTCAGTGATATTCTTAAGCCCCTCCCACTCAGTTCTAGTTAAATGGCATAGGTTTTCCTCTATTTTCTCTTTTCTTTTTTTTTCTTTTTTTTCTGATAAACTTTAATCAGTATGAAAGAAAAAAAAATAGGCTCTTTTTGAGGAAATGCTCCTCCTGGAGCCGGCAGGAGCTCCAGAGGTAGAGAGAAAGTCCGTTTGTGTTGTCTGTTCAGCGCAGAGGAGCTGATGAGGGAGTTACGAGAGACTTTAGTAATCAAGAGTAGCCGTTTCCTGATGCAAGACATCTGGTTGGTCAAAGAGACGAGAAGCAAGAGAAAAGAGGCGAATAAAGAGTGCAGAGGAGGAAGCAGTTCCTGCTGCCGGTCAGCAGTCATCAGAGCCAGATCCAGGCTGACCCGCAGGTCAGCTCACTAATCAGGCTGACTGACAGGGGGCCGCGTGTGTGTGCGTGCATTCGTTCATGCGTGTGTCCATGTGTGTATGTGATCCAGAGACCTAAATCTGTTTACCTCACTTTATAAGCACCTATTTTTAATGGGTGCAAATCATGCATCTCAAGTTTTTAGAAATGAGTGCAGCGGTTTTTTGGTTTGTGTTTTTTAGAAACTACGGACAGGCTACTAGGCAGGTTCAGTGTGTTCAGCAAAACTTATATATAATTCATGAAAATGAACATTTTGATTGCAAACTCTAAAAAAAACAAACAAAAAAACAAAAAAAAAAAACGAACAACTGTTTTCTTTTTGTAATTAAGAAAGGAAAAGATTTTATACCATATTTAATTTTGTAAGTTGTTTCAGGTGTGTGTGTGTGTGTGTGTGTGTGTGTGTGTGTGTGTGTGTGTGTGCGCGCGCGCTATGCTGTTGTGTAAAATTAAATGTTTCCAATTGGAAATGTGTTTAATTTGTAATTAAATTAAATATATAATTCAATATCAAGTCATTTCTGCCGTTTACACAATTTCAGATGTGAGTATTGTAAATGTTCTCCACTTTAATTTTAAGTGAAACTTAAATATAAACATAGTATGAATTAATAGGCCAGTGGTTTTTCTTTATTGATTAGCTTTTCTTTAGCGTCAGTAAAATTTCTTTGTGCAAAAGGTGAAATATTCAGATATTAAACCAGCAAACAAGTATTGTATATTTTCCCCCCTATATTTGGAAACAGACTATTTTTGGAATATTGACAGTTGATTCATTATTAAAATAGTGGCAGATTTATTTTCACTTGATTGACCTATTGCTTCATTGAGCTGCACTAACCAGTAATGAAAATAATCATTAAGCAGCCTTAATGAACATTGATCTTTCCTTACCATAACATTAAGCACACAGACGTGGAGAACACGTGTCTGCGGCTACATAAGCATGAAGTTCTGTTTGTCGGCTAGTAAGGGTCATGTGAGCGTAAATGTGCAAGGTGTGTGTGTGCGTGTGTTTGTATGCATGCAGCCTGTTTACTTTGGCAGCCGTTTCTCTTTGCTTTTGAGTGTCTGGAGGGAGGTGCCAGGGACGAAAAGGGTTACGACAGAAAAAAGGACTTGAAAAAGAAGAGAGCGAGGGACTGGAGTGGTGACCTGGTGGGGGTAAAAGCTGGGATTGACTGTCTTAAGTAGAGGGGAGTTTGTGTGAGTGTGTAAATGCAAAAGTCTGTGTGCATGTGTGATTCATTACTCTCACTGAGGAAAATGAAAAGAAGCGTCTGGCCAGGGGCCCAGAGGGAGGAGAGACAGAGACTCTACAGAAGGTAGAGAGGGAAGCACATGCAGTTTGAATGAAGGCTTGTGTTTGAAAGAGATACAGAGAGAGAGAGAGTTTTGTAGATTGCAGAGCCCACAGTATTGCAGCGCATGTAGCCTGGGTCAGAGGGAAGACAGAAAAACTTGAAAAGGGTCCTCTGTCTTCACTTCTTTTTATCATCCCGGACCCTTGAAAAAATATACTCCAGAGTGGATAAATCCAGGAACAACGGCAATTTGCTTTAGTGTGGTAGAGGACAATTATGCTTTTGAAAAATAATGTTGTACGCCTGGGGTGAAATTCCAGTGTGTCTCGGGTCATGCAGACTGCCACCCTTGTATGTATCTCCAAAATTAACCAGCGTTTTAACCATCACATATTTTCTTTTATAACTAAAGTGTTTTTAAAAATTAAAGAAATCCAAATATAGTTAATTGGGAGTGATTGTGCTGTGTAACTGCTCTGCAGCGCGATGAAGATCCACCCTACTTAACTATGTTTTACAGCTGGGGTCAAGACAAATCTGTCATTTCCTGGAGCAGAAACATGTCTTGAGCTCAAAACTGCGTTTTTAACAAATTGTCAAACTTTAACAAATGTCCTGATGTGTGATTTTTCAAGCCGTTAATGAAGGCTCAGAGTCTCCGGTCTGGATCAGTGTGTGAAGCTCCCTATAAGACATTTGAATGATCAATTTTTAAGCATTGCAACACTATGCAAAGAGTATTTACAAGCCACAGTTAAATGACTCATTTTCTCTGCCAGGAAACAGAAATAAACGACTGAACGATGAGTCTGGCTGTATTAAAACGCAGGTGATCACAAAGAGCCCGAGGATAGAAAACAAAGCAGGAAAGCTGGGTTGTTACGGATGTCTGGGATGCTTTGCAGTCTGTATTGTTTGCCTTGCCTAAATAAATGAAGAAGCGTGTTTTTTATTCTTGTTTGTGTCTTGACTGGTGTCTTAAAAAAATAACCTGCAAACAGTATTGTGAGTGCGCTTTCACATTCAACTTCAGCCGGCTCAGTGTGGATATTTTGATTTTTATTTCAGCATATATTGTGCAAAGCAGTTGGTCTAAGATCCATTCCTATATTACAAATAATGACTGAGCAGGCTCATGCTGTAATGCTTATGTTTATGCCTGGTCTGTATTCTGATCATTAAAAGTACCCTAACTTCCAAGTAGGAAACTAAAATAAAATAACAAACAGATAAACGTCTTTATTCTCACATCTAACCCTCCAAAATTTGTAGAGCATTCATTTAAAGACCACAAATGAATTCCACATTTTTATGCTCATGTCAACATTATTCCATAATTTCATCCTAACAACAGAAAAACATCTTCTGTCCGTGTTCTCGTCCAATTGATTTTTTTTTTT